GTTATTTTGATTTAATTAGTTGGTATTTGATGTAAAATGCAGAAGCAGAACCATTGTATTCTTAAGTGAGATTATGGATCAGAAAGCAGGGGATGGCAGCAGTGTGAAGAAAATAATATCATCATGTGATGTTGAGGCTTTGAAGAAGTGTTTGGAAGAGAATAAGGGAGACTATGTCAAATGTCAGTCACAGATTGAGGCTTTTAAAGCATCATGCTCGCTCAAGAAACCAAACCCCTATTGATTCTGTCAATTCTTGTTTTCATCTTGAAGTTCTATGATTGACATTCATGGTTTGTTTCAAATGGCTCTTTTATATGCTTGTTCTAATGATAAAATGCCAACATGTCTTATGATCAACAAATATGTTGATCATTGTTCATAATTTGATGGTTTCAAAGTTGTTTCTTCTTTTTAGTTCAAGTTAAGACAGCTTATTCCTTGCTTTTCTTGTCTTGAAGGAATTAAAAAATGATTTTATCAAAGCAAGTAGCAGATTACTGATCATAACTTTTGTTCTTTATTTTTTATCAAATCAGATTGCATATCACCTTCTGTTGTTCTTGTTTAAACAGTCAAATGGGAGGCTTCTCACATTCTTCTTTACTAGAGCCGAAAGTACTTGGAGGCATCAGAAAAGGCAAAAAGATCAAGTGTAGTGTTAGAAGTGAAGTGGAGACCCACATCGATAGTTCCTTTCACATATCTTAAGATGCGTCGAACCATTTTTAAATGCATAATTGTAGGAGAATGCATGAATTGGGACACATAGTTAACACTATATGAAAGGTCAGGGCGAGTGAGAGTGAGATATTGTAAGGCTCCAACAAGCCCATGAAAGTAACTTGGAGCATCAAGGGGAGTGTTATTTGACCCGATCTTGGTCTTGGCTTCAAGTGGTGTGCTCATCAGTTTATAATCAACCATGTTAGCTCGTTCAAGAATAGTAGTAGCATAGTGTGTTTGGGAGAGATGGAGGCCATTGTTTGTCGTGAGTATCTCAATGCCGAGAAAATGGTGAAGAGGGCCCTAGTGCTTCATGAAAAATTCAAAAATGTAAGAGTTGAATGAAGTCAGAAACTAGAGAGGTATTGGATCCTATAAGAAGTATATCATCTACATAAAGGAGTAGAACTAAGGAACCTACATCAGAATGCAAAATAAACAAAGATGGGTCAGCCAAGCTACAAAAAAAGCCATAATGAATAAGAAAAGAACTAAAGCGGTCAAACCAAGCTCGAGGAGCTTGTTTTAGGCCATAAAGAGCCTTTTGGAGTTTGCAATCATAGTTAGGGAATTGAGGATCAGCCATGCCAGGAGGTTGTTCCATGTATATGTTTTCAGAAAGTACACCATGCAGAAAGGAATTTTTAACGTCAAGTTGTCGAATAGGCCATTTCTTAACAAGGGCTATAGTGATGATTAAGCGGATGGTGCCTGACTTGATTAACCTCTTGGTCTTCTCGGCCTTAGTGTTATTCCATCAGGAACATCATTCCGACCTTCTTCTCTACTTGGCCGTAGTAGAGGATGCCATCAGCGCAGTGATAGTGCAAGAGCACTACAAAGAAAAAATCCCCATATACTTCATCAGTCGAGTTTTCTAGTACACAAAAAGACGGTACCAAATGATTGAGAAGCTAGCATTGGCACTAGTCACTTTTGCCCGGTGTCTCCGAACTTACTTCCAAAGCCACCAGGTCATCGTAAAGACAAACTACCCAATTAAACAGATACTGAGAAAACCAAAACTCACGGGGTGCATGATCGCATGGTCAGTCGAGCTATTCGAGTTTGGCATCAGATACGAAGCTCGAAGACCCCTTAAAGCTCAATGCCTAACAGATTTCGTGGCCGAGCTCACCCCAACCTCTATAGGCGCAAACCCAATCTGGACCTTGCATGTCGACGAATCCTCCAACACTAAAGGTGGAGGCGCGGGAATTATCCTTGAAGGCCTTCACCAAGTCACAATCAAACAGTCTCTCAAATTTGGATTCAAAATCACCAATAACCAGGCAGAGTATAAAGCACTGTTGGCCAGACTAAGGTTGGCACGGGACATCGAAGCGTAAAGGGTAAGCTGCAACAACATTTCAAAACTCATGGTAGAATAGCTCAGCGGTGCCTACCAGACCAAAGACGCGCTACTACAAAGATATTACCATGAAGCATCCTAGTGGATGTCATCCTTCGAGGAATTCATAATACATCACGTGCCTCGGGAGTAGAATGTTAGGGCCGATCTCCTGTCCAAGATCGCTAGTACAAAGCGCCCTGGACAACATCAGACCATCATTCAATAGACCCTCAACTCCCCCAGCCTAGATGTGAAGATCGTCAACGCCAACGACGTTGAGGATAAGGAATGGATGACCGACATCTGGAACTACTTGCAGACTGGAGCACTACCCGAGGACAAGGTCGAAGCTCAAAAAATAAGGGTAAGATCATCCCAATTTTCCATTGTTACAGGAGAACTTTTCAAGAGGAGCATCTCGACCCCTTTACTCAAATGCCTAACCAAGTCCCAAGCCAGCTACGTCATTGAAGAAATTCATCGAGCCATATGTGGCATGCACTCCGGCAAATGCTCCATGGTAGCTAGAGTGATCCGAGCTGGATATTATTGGCCCACACTGAAGTCAGACTATAAAGACTACGTGTAAAAGTGCAAGGTGTGTCAACAATTCGGCAACGCACATCGATAGCCATCGGAGGTCCTCCATCAAATGGCATCCTCATGGCCCTTCGCCTAGTGGGGAATGGACATCCTCAGACCATTTCCCCCCCCCCCCCCCAAAGGCCAACTTAAATTCCTCCTCGTTGCTGTCGACTACTTTACCAAGTGGATTGAAGCATGCCTGCTCGCCAAGATCACCGCCGAGAACGTCCAAAAGTTCACGTGGAAGAATATCATTTGCCGTTTTGGCTTGCCGAACTCTCTCATCACCGATAATAGAAGACAATTCATTGCCCAAAACTTTGAAAGCTTCCTCTGAGAGCTCGGCATCAAACACCTTGCCACCTCCGTAGAACACCCACATAAACCAACAGTCAAGCCGAGGCTGCCAACAAAGTCATACTCTGAGAACTCAAGAAGCAACTAGGGAGCGCTAAAGGACAGTGGGTTGACGAGCTCCCGAGCATCCTCTAGGTATACCATTGCACCCCGTAGTCGACGACCCAAGAAACACCCTATAGGCTGATCTATGGTTCCGATGCCATGATCCCGGTGGAAGTCGGTAAGACATCTCATCGGCGGCTCACCTTCAACAATAAGCAAAACATCCAGGAGATAACAACCAACCTTGACACAATAGACGAACTCAAGGAGGAAGCTCGGATTAGAGAAGAAGCTTGCAAACTCCAGGCTTTTAGAAGATACAACACAAGAGTCCATCCCCGATCTTTTCGGGTCGGGGACTTAGTCTGGCAACTACAAGGAGAAGCAAGGAAGAACCTGTTAGAAAGAAAAATCGTGCCCAACTGGGAAGGCCTGTTGATGGAACTACTTGGAGAAGATTGATGTTCTTCAAGTTGAACCATGCTAAGTCCCTTCTTCTCTTGAGGTTCTTCACGTCAATGGAAGATTTGGATGAGTTCAAGCTTCAAAAGCTTGAAGATGCTTCCCAAGGTGGTTCGGTTTCTCTTGAAGGAGAGAAACTTGAGGAACCAAGCACAAAGGAGAAGTTCCTTTGTGAAGCTTCTAGGAGAAGGAGATTCTCCACGAAATTGAACTCTTGAAATGAGAGAGAATTAGAAATTAGATTTCTCTCTCACTCAAGAGTCTCTAAAACTGTAGAGAATTTTCTCTCTAAGGCTCCTCTCAAAGGTTCTTCATCCTTTTCCTTGGTTCCTCAAGCTTCTTCATCAAGCTAGGAGTAACCGAACCACTTCCATTGCTTCTCCTCCATTGAAGGTTGCTTCAAGGAGATTCAAGCTTCTTGTCAAGGATTCGTCAAGAGTTACACGGTCTTGGAATAGAACACTTGAAGATTCAACAATCTTCTCCAAGTAGTTCCATCACCTGTTCTGAGTCATTGATGACCTGGACAACGGGGCATATCGATTGGAAGAACTCAGTGGCAAATCCATCCCCAGAACATGGAACGCCACTCACCTCAAGTTCTATTTTAGCTAAATTGTAAAATATGATTTTGTACTCTTTTCCCTCCTCGATCTTTTTTCCCAGAAAATAAAATAAAAATGGGTTTTGGCCGAGGGGGTTTTTAACGAGGCACACCCATCAAATCAATAAGAACGACTTCTTTTCTTCATATATACTCTTGACTTCATATTGTCTAGCCTATACTCAGCCAAGGTCGAATTTGAACCTTCGTAAAATTTCTATTAAGCCAAGGTCGAATTCGAACCTTGGTGTAATTTCTATTAAGCCAAGGTCGAATTTGAACCTTGGTACAATTTCTATTAAGCCAAGTTTGAATTCGAACCTTGGTGTAACTTATATTAGGCCAAGGTCGAATTTGAACCTTGGTACAATTTATATTAAGCCAAGGTCGAATTCGAACCTTGGTACAATTTCTATTAAGCCAAGGTCGAATTCGAATTGTCTTAATAGATCATGGGTTTTATTGAAGAACTCATGTTTTTTATTTCTCTCGGCTAAATGGAAATGTAATTTCTAATGTTTTCTCTTATTGTAGGACACCAGTCCTTACTTGCATTTCTTTGGAAAAATTTCTTTATTTGTTGAATATTTTACTGGCTCCAAATTCAAAGCATGGTCTTATTGAATCAATTTCTATTCTCTGCCTCCCTCACAACTCAAGAATCATACCTATGACACAAGTGATTATTTGTTGACAGTTACACAACAAAAGAACATGTCTAAGAAATAGCCGTTAGTTGATAAAGCTAAATTCTCGGATGAATGACATACACCTGCGACCTGTCTTGACGGGTTTGCTCCACAAGTGAAAAAGTTTCCAAGATACGAACTTGAATTTGAGTTGCTTGATACTATTGTTTGAGTTGGTAAGTACATAATGTATTATGACAAATTTGAAAATTGACATGAGTAAATTCTATATTTAGTATTGTGTAGTTTGTACTCACTACCTGAGCGTTTTTATTTTGACAATTGCTACAGATTGCCTCTTGTAAATGACTTAGGCTTAGGCACATATAATTGGTTATATATTCTATACTATACACTCAGTAGTACTCAATAGTTTAAATTTTAAAAGATTGAAAATGAATATATGTGATTTACCCTATTTTTCTATTATTAAGAAAAGAAAATGGAGGTGTAGGAGAGGGTATTTGCTTATGGTTGGTAAACTTGAGCATAGTGTAATTCATAGTGGATGAAGATATGTAGAACTTTGATTTGTTCTGTTGTTTTTTCTTGGCCTTAGGCTTGCATTTGATATTAAGGATTGTCTGGTATCTTACAAAATCTGTTGTTCCTCTTCTAACATTTCTCCATGTTTGAGTCTCTTTCTTTTTAATTCAACTATGGTGTCTTTTCTTCTCTTAAATTAAGCGTTCATTTCATCATGTTATATTTTTAAATATTAAAAATGATAAAAGTTAGAATCAGCTCAGCTATAAGCCAAATTGTTTTTGTATACCAGATTTGTTTTTACAACTCTGGAGTCTGTTCATTTACCTTATTTCTTAAATTGTCTTTCATAATATTGTTTTTGACTTATAGTCCCTTTTTTCTTTAATTAACCTTCATGCAGGAAGTAGAGTCGGCCACACTTGATGCAATATCCAAGTCTAAGTTGGGAAGTGTATGATGTTGTAATCTGGCTATTCGTTTTGGATTCATTTGGTTCTATGTTTAATTACTCATTTTGTTACCAAGTTGTTTAAAGCTTTGAGTGCTCATGTAACGCTTAAGGTCATATATGTCCATGTATTTGTATATGATTGGTGGCAGTTATCCTTTATATTGA